GCATCACTATGTAGATAAAATAGACAAAGCTAGAATTTATTGATGCAATCATAACGAAGTGACGATTTAAAAATATATGAGTTTATCAAACCAAGGTGGAATCTTGTTGCCAAAGACTAGCAGCAAATGCTTATATTTCAACCTCATCTGAAACTTTTTTATTATGATCTAAATTGGAATATGTCTCAATTAAAAACGATACAATTACAACATTAACTTCATAGTTTTATATGCTTTGAGACAAGTATGTGATCTCAAAGTCTATTGATAAAACAACAACAAATTCAGACAGAATTTTATTATTTTATGTCTTAATCTGAAGCTATGTATTTGAAAGTTTTACATTGTGTATTTCATAGTCATTAACAATGAAAGTGACATTCATGTTTTTTGGTGCAATTGTCTTTAACAAAAAATAAGTAAATTCAAAAATGTTGTGACGTTTTTGACAATTTGATTATACTCGTTATTTATTAATATTTTGAATTTAAATAAATACACATATATATACAAATCCTGTATAATTTCAAAGTCATAAATAATTTTATATAGAGATGTATCTTTTGCAATATTTATATTTTTATACATCCCACTACCAAATATTTGAAAGTATTGATCTAAAAACATTCACATCTTTTTTTTACTACTTAGTACTTCATATAATTTATAATGTTCATATAAATATATATTTTGAAAATGTATCATTGTAAGTATAAATCACATTCTAGTTAAATTTATCTTAACAAGTTTAAAATTCTTCACATATGAGATCTCTTTAATACATTTTAAATGAAAAAAGATTTCTATCAACAATCTAATTTGAATACTTGACATGATTAGAAAATGAAAATAATTACATGACAATAAATAATTCAATAGTGATACAAGAAAATAAATTAGCATTTTTAAGTTAAAAAACTAACACATTGTCTATTTGTTGAAATAGAAAAAAATAATTATTTCATAAGCTGCAACTGTATGACTTTATGTTATCACAAAAGATATGTGAAGAGATTAAATATTAAAAATATATGCATGCTGACAAGCTTGACTACAATGATATTTGTACTCATGAATTACTCTCATATTTGTAGATCTTTCCATATTATGATAAATATATGATTTGCAAAATTAAAATATTATTTGTTGATAATTATTTTAAGTCATTGATCTTCTATCTTTTTCAACTTATTGCTTAAAATTAAAAAGAAGTTGTTAATCTCTAACATGAACAATATCATATTTGTATGTAATTTGTTGTACTCTTAAAATTTGTATTTTAACATTCCAGATGCCAAATTATGATTATTTTATTTAGAGTATCTGTTATAATACATTGGAAATGAAGCTAATGTGTTTGAAAATTGTGTAATATAACTACAATTTAAATATATTTAGTTTATATCATCTACAAAATTAATTCTTAGCATTAAATTTGTTGTTTTTATACTGTGTGACAACTGTTTTGTGCGGAAGACTAAACCTGCATTCATAGTCAATTCTTTCAGTTAGTTTATTTATTGAAAAATTTGAATATATAATAATTACAGTTGATTTTTTTATTAATATTATATAATTAGTTATATTATATCCATATAGATATTGGGGCGCAGACTAGTGCCACACCCGTTTTTGCTACGGCCACACCTGCTACATACAAACAACTAATTGCGCGTCAAAGCACGTCTCCTCCCAAACCCAGCTGCTAAGCCGAGCTCGTCCGCGAGGTAGAGGAGAGCGTAGTCGAGAGGCTTCGAGGTGCGCGGGGCCGCTACGGCCGTTGCTGTCTCCCGCGTTGCTGGGCCTTGGGCAGTAGCAGTGCGCTCGGGTAGTAGCGAAAGCAGTCATGGGCATGGTAATCAGCATGCGGGTGTGGCCATAGTCTGATAACTTAATTTTTTTTATTAAAACATCATTATTGGAAATCATTGAATGAAATTAGATTTAATTGTAACTGAACATATCTAATGAAAACACCACCTACAAATCAAAACTAATTTTTGATCATATGAATATTCAAATATAGATATTTTATCTTATATAAAAATGTATTTTTATGATGTTTATTAATAAGAACAAATTAAATTAATCAAAAATATATAAATTTTTAATAATGCAAAACGGAAAAAGCACTTTCGTATTGATGGACTTATTTCTAAAAATTAAATTATACAAAATATTCATATTATATGCATGAAATGATGATAATCAATTAAACATAACCAATATACATTAATACACAATTATTATTCTTTAAAAATAGAAATTCTAGGATTTCTATATATTTTAATTCAATTAAATTTTTTTACCAAAATAATACACATTAATTCATTGATTGAAATTTTCTTAGTACTCATTTGCAAAAATGTATATTCAGTCAAAACAAATAATTTTATTCAATGAATTGTTTTATTTAATTCACGTTGGATAGCTTATTATTAATATATTTTAATTACACAATCTTAGTGTTTGAAAAAATTATCTTTGTGTTACTATGAATTCAGCTTTTCAAGTTGAAATTATGTACAATGAAATTTGATTTCTGCCCAGATATTGATATAAGAGCAAGATTAACTTTGTTGAGAACACCGCCAAATATGAGTACATATTTTATTATTATCAAATGGATGAAATAATTTTCAAAATACAAACTGCTTATTTTTTTAAAAAATAATCAAATAATACAAAATAGGTCATAAAAAATGTTAAAATAAAACTTGTTTTTGTTAAATACATTGCATGAGTTGATCTTATGATAGTTGGCTTGTGATTATATATGGCTTGAATTTTGCTCCTTAGTCATGTCAATACTTGAAATTTTAAATTTATTTTGCTCAAATTGGGTTTTTGATTCAATTTTTTAATGTCAACATTACAAATTTTAGCTTTTGTGCTTACAAGTTTCAAGCTTTAATATTTTCAACGTACTCAAGTTATGATAAGGAAATTTGAATTTGAATTGTTTCAATTTTCAATTTTTAAATTTAATGATTAACTAACCTCATAAACTAATAAATGTACTCTTGCACAATCAAAATTATATTGGCACAAAATTCAAGACTTAAAACTTCAAATGCATTTGAAATTTTAACTTATTGAATTTTGTGAAGTATTTTCATTTAAACCTTTCTATTTCATTTTCAACATTCATATTTGCTTATGCTTGTAAATTCATTGCATTTGTTTAGTTCAATATAATCATTTCTTGAACAAAATTTAAAAAATAATCAGCTAATTTTTTTATGATTTTATGATGATTGATATTTTGTAATAGATTTAAAATATTTTTAACTATTGTGAGTTTTTCTGATCCAATGACACTGAGTGTGTGTAAAGTGAAAGATAAAACAAAATCTAATTGTATGCATTTCAAAGTCATTATGACTAATAACTTTGATTCAAATATATGTTGCTGTTTGCACTGATATTTGAATATATCTTAATATTTTTTCTGCTGATTGTTTTGATTTTTTATGTATTTGATTTATTGAATGTATGATTAACAAGATTAGCAAATCAAATTTTTTTAATCTTTGAAATTTCATTCATACTATAAAAAAAAGTTTAAAATGTGAAATACTATAAAAATAAGTTAAATTTTAATGTATATATTCTTTTGATGTTGTGGCTTTTGATGTAATATAAACTGTTGTATATAAAATTTCATTAATATATCATGTGACATCAACAGCAACTCAAATAAATGTAGACTTTTAAGCCTAAACTTTAGTTGTGATCATATTTTTTTAATTTTTTTTTGACCTTTCGGAAAAAAAACTATTGCTCATGTAGATCAAAGTTATGTTGTTGCACTTGAGATTTTATCATTGGTGATTGATTCAAAACCTGGTTAACTTAATTTTTGAATTTTTCTGACATAAAAATACAATTTCATATGATGAGATGACAAATTATCTAAAGTGTTTTTTCAAAAGCGTATGGTGTATGTGAAGACGAAAATTTCTGAATTATTGTCATGATTCATATTTATAGAATATCATAAGTATTTATTGCCATGGGTTACAAAGTTTTATTCAAAAATGATACAAATCATTACTTTATTGAAATTTAGTAATTGAAATGCTATTATTGTGCCTACATTCCATAAATGTATGTTTTGAACAATATGTGTATTCAATAAAATTGCTGCTAATGGTTATAAAAGTTTGATAGAAGCTATATACTTGATAAATTTTGTTGGAAAAATTTGATAGATAGAAACAGATTTCACTATGAAAAATATAAAAATGAAAAATGCATTCACTATAAAAATACGACTCTCGAGACACATCAAAGTAAAAAAGCAACGTATATATTTAAAATGTTGAAACAACGGAAACAAATTTATTTAATGTTTTTACATGGAGATATTATGATATAGAATCAAAATAAAATATGAGATTAATATGTATTAAGAGTTAATTTCCTTTTAACTAAAATTTAAGAATTATTACTTAAGATTGGAATTTGCGCATCAACTTGTGATACATGGTTAGACATTTGGTATGAGGGTTAAAGGTGCATGATAGTCAAACACTTTAAACTCTACAAAGTGATGAATGTGATATAGATGCATTGTTTATAGTATTTTGAGTTTCAGTTTGAAGACAAGCTAAAGTAGCTTAATGTTAATATTAATTTACTTATATAATCTCAATCGGTGCCATGGTCAACCTCAAAAGTGAAATATATAACTGTTAACACATTTCATCACATCAAGTTACGTTATTAGAAGAAATTGAGACATGGAAAAGAGAGTACCAAATCGGATCATGCTGTCGACTCTCCACGTTAAGTCGACATCAGGTTACCTACTGTATCAGAAGTTTGATTGTACAGGGTAGGATGATAATCTCTGCTTCTGTGGGTTTCCTGTCCGGTTTCTTTGCATGTCTCGATCAGTTCTCGCCGTACTATTTCTGGAGTTATTGGAATCGAAGCAGTTTTCGAGGTCAGGCTTTAGGCTTTAGGGTTCCCATACCTCGGTGCAGGCAGAAGTTACCATCAGCGTAGCCAAGTCCTGCACTGAAGCTCAACTCGAGCTATTTTGGGGTCTTTGCATGAGAGGAAATCTGCTAAATCTGCATCGAGAAAGTTGAGATGGCTCTCGGAATTTTGACGGGGCTGATGCGTGGTGGCCGAATTGTTCCACGAAGCGGTTTAACTGCCCTCACAACCAAGCGTGGTCCGAAAGGGTTTTACAAAGGCAAAGGTTGCAAGTCAACTGGTCGTCATACCAGCAAAGGTGAGAAATTCAGCTGTCTTCTATGAAGTCTCGAATCTGTTTCATCATATTCGATGTGGATCGTGTGAGTGCAGTACTGTGCTTCTTATGGTTTTGTGGGAGCGGACAATGTCTAGATCAGTGGCTGATGCCAGTGAATTTGGTTTTTTGTTAAATTTTGAAGGAGGATATATTCTCATGGCCGAAAAACTTCCTCAGTACGTTGTTCCCGATCTCACCGACTTCAAGGTTAGTACTACTACTTCATTCTGCGATTTAGACTAAATTTCGACGCACCTTAATCGGGCTGCTTCAATGGATGTTTCGAAGGAATTTTCCGAGCCTCAAACAGTGACCTATTACAACTCGCGGAGATTTTCGTGATGTTGTGCAATTATATTGTTTATGCTTCAATCGAAATGGGTTTTTTGGCCTTAATTTGAGCTGTGTATACTGCCAGTTGAAGGCCTACGTTGCGCATAACACTCCAAAGGTTCCCAAGGTTACAAAGACCAGTGAAGAACCGACCACTCCAGCAGTATAGTTGAAATTGCAACTGTGGTATAAGTCTTGCAAGGCACTTTGGAAGGCAGCCAGCCAGGCAAGTGGCGGGATGCGATCGATTTATCCTTCGGAATCGGATGTGGAAGGCAGATGTTTGGCTAGTCACAGTGGCGTATGTGGGTGAGGAGAATGACAGGCTTGGGGTATGCTGATTCATCACTACTTGACTAAGTTCTGATGTTGTAGTAAATTGGTCAGTAGACAACCGTTGCACTTTCTCCTCGGTGCTTCATCTGTAAGGTGGCTAGCAAAATATTGGAACGAGCTCCTTGACGCTCTTTCTGATTAGACGGGAGTGCAAGTCTGATAAATAGCAACTGATCGTGACTGTAGAATTTCGAGTCCAAACATGCTGTATATCTGCTGACGTACAGACACCTCAATCTCCATTCAGCCTCTGAACTTGGGAGTTTAAGCATAGCCCACTGGCAAGGGTGTCCCATTTTTGACACCAAGCGGAAGGAATGTAAACACTATGACAAGGACAGTTTCTTGGATTTCAAAATTGAGGTTATCGAGAAAAGATGTATATGTTAGAATATGTGTTTGTTGTCATGTAACAAATACCCTCTAAATGGCCAGAGTCGCCTAACCGTGTTATCAGAGAGGACATTGTGCCGAATGGGAGACAATGTGGCCATCGTCCTAATGCTCGTGGAACTAACTAACCAGTCCACACGTGCATCAAAACAGAATCGTAAATCATGGAGTTCCCATTGCTTTCAGCTCATGGTGCTGATCTATTCATTACTACCAGGTTCGAATTCATGGATTGTACAGGACTGTCTGACTTGTAAGTGATTCTTCTCCCATTTAGACACGCAACCATCAAGTTGGATGTCTAAATGTATCAGTGCTTGTTCACATGAATGTAATTTGCACTTCCTAGAGCGGGTGTTTTGAACAGTTACCAAGCTCCATTACGTTTTTGTTCAGATTACATTGGTTCTCTGGAGTGCAAGGAATGGTAGAGGGTCTCTAGATCTCAGAGCTTGGGGTCCATGGTCTTTAGGTTAAGACAGGCATACAGGATTGAGTACATTTTGATACGTAAGAGTTGTGCTTTACTTGATGGATGTCCACGAAAAACTATTAGTTTCTACTTGCGCTTTAGTACTGCTCAGTCGTGGGTTGTTTGCTATTTGGATGTGGATTACGACATAAAGGTTTTCCTATTTTGTATCATTCTTATTGTTTGTGTGGAGACGTTCTTGCACAATTCCCAGTTGCATCAAAGGGTGTTCCTCTGGATTAGGCGAAAACATGAGATTCAGGTGACCGAGCATCAGATTTTCAAATAGCTTAATTCTGAAGCAGGTTTGCTGTGGCACAGCGATTGCAATTCATGCTGCTTTCCATGACCTTTTCCTTTCAATTTCTCGACGTAGGCAACTCTGTAGAAAAGCTCTCACGTGTAATTCTCAAAAGATGAGATGAAGACGAAGCGTTGATTTTCTGCGGAGTATACATGGTAGAGCCTTTGAGTACGGTCTGCACGACCGACCTCTCAAGCATTCCGCAATAGAGTACACACAGGGTTTTCATTCTTAAGGAAGGGATGGGGGTGGTTGACTCACAGCAGCTACCTTAGACGTTCAAGATGCAACCTGCGAGGGCCCTGGTTGAGATGCTTGACGTTATACAGAACACTGTTCTTGACGAATGGTGTTAGTGCTTAACATGTTCATGTTACTCCGCAGTTATATGTTGAAAAGTAGACTGGAAGTCAGCTTACAAGGTTGGGTTCTCCAGTCTCTGCCTTCCCAAATCATGAGACTCAGCTCAGCGATCTTTGCTGTGGATACATGGCGATTTTGAAACGATGTGTTTTTGCCACTCAAGATATTTGCCCATGTTATTCTTGCTGTATAGTTTTGTGACTCACAATATGTCTGACTAGACTCGTGTTTTGGCACAGTATTAGATGAATCTAATAGAAACTCGGTATGGGAGGATGGATGGATGGATGTTTAGCGGCAGTTCACCACAGGTGTATTCTTGTCATCGCAATGTCCCGACACCTGTAAGCCAACGATAAACTTGCAGTTCGTGTCAAGTAGCGACAGTCCATGACTCTTTTGGATCACCACTACACGCGTGTTCTAAGAGTGGACCCACAATCTGTAGTATTTCTCTCACATTCGATGCGCCATGCTGATTACACTAGTAAATTTCCGAAGTGGAAGAAAAATGGTAGCGATGTTATGTAACGTTAACGACAACCAAAATCTGATGTCAGTGGCGGTGATACAAAGCACTTTTCCTCGTCGCAACTTCTCAACTGATGTAGATAAGTAAGTTGTAAGTACGATGTAGCAAATCGTAAAATGTAGGTTGACAAGCTTGGAAGACTTGTCACTGTTCCTGAATGGAAGCCTACGAAATCTGAATTCCAGAGAATGACGTCGCACAAATGGTGATCATTTCTGTAATCTCAAAATGCAAATACGGTGCAGAATCTCTCTGGCCGTATTGACAGAGTGAAAAGTGCCTTTTTGTGAAGCTCATACTTCTCTACCTGAGGACGTTCAGGTCATCTGTATAATTTCTTTACATCGAACGTCATGCACTCATCACAATGGTGAGATTAACTGTCGAGTTACATCAGCTGTAAACTTTTAGATTGTAAGAAGCAGATGTACATTTGAGTTGGACGCAGTTTGTACACCTTCAGCACATTGCTCGATTGGACGTCGTATAGCCACGCAACGCAATTGGACATTGCTTTAATGACTAGAGCTAACGTAGCAGACAAACTAATTGCAGCTTATTATCTACATTCAGACGAATCAAGGTAGATGGCAATTCCAGGAAATGATGATCTACGAAGAGATAAATGTTGATGGCCACAAATTCACGAGTGGAGAAAATGAAAGCTCATAACGTTCATTGATAACTCCACTCATAACTTTGGTGTAAAAGATAGAGTACGGGAAAGTATAAAACTGTTGAACTCTCCTTTTCCCATAGGAAGGCTCAATTTTGCAACATCAAATACTCTCTACCGTACTCAACTCGGAAAACTGGATCTAAGTACCTCCAATTCCGTTTCTAACTTGAGGGTGACAACACCCGCGATTTTGATGTTATAATCCAAATGCAGTATAAATCATCAAATTGTGATGTTCTAATGCAAGAACAATCCGCGATTTTGATGTTATAATCCAAATGCAGTCTAAATCATCAATTTGTGATGATGGATGTTGCGCATATACATGTTACATCATACAATTACATGAAACATTATGATACATGATCCGTAAATTTTCACAACGGATATAAATTACATCTTGTACAAATACTAGCTTTGTATTAAACAATACACCATATGTTATGATACATAGATTATCACACATCAACAGAAGTTATATAATGTTTGAAAATATTAAATATTAAATCAAATAAATAATATGATATACATCTTGCCAAATTATATAATGAGATTCTATGTTACATTGTTAATTGCATCTTTGCAAACCACACAAAGATGGAACCATTTTGTATGCTACTCCTATTGAATAACATTCACCTGCTTTTATCATAACATTATATGCAATATTACCTCATCACTAAACATCAGTAAACAAAATTGTAAAAATAAAATATGTTGTATAGTCATACAAAAATCATAGCACAAATGAACATTCAACATTTTCATCATGAGTGAATTCATTTCAGCTACATTTCAAGCATGCAATTCTCAAGCATGAATTTTTGCTAACATCATGAATGTTTAAAAATTTAACATGACATTACACATAATATTTTCAAATTCTATCATCAAAATACTCAAACATCAAAGCTCAAAGTAATATCTACACATATTTTATATAGAAATATAATGAAGAAAAGAAAGCAAAAAAATCAAGTATATATAAATTACATATCATTGCTTTCCAGAAAAAGAAGAAAAAAAAATTCACATATTTCTACCAATGCAACTAAAAAATGATGGAAGAACACAATCATCAACTTAATTTTTTGATTCAAATGCATATCTTTTCTGATCATTATCCAGATATTTTAAACTGCCACTGGATTAATCAAATTATTCATTATTGCACAGGAAAGTGCATGCTTGAAAGTATACTAAAATATCCTTAGTGTTACATATATCATAGGGTATAAATACCCATACACAAGCGATGTTCCAAATTATTTATAACTATTTAGTACATAAGGTTACTACTAAATCGGAATTAACCTCAACAACATTAAACTATGAAATGAAAATTACATAAACTATAATTCAGATTTATTCTATAATTTTATCTTATAAAAGTGTTGAAAAATACTTAAAAAAAATCTGATTTACATGAGTAAAATATAGTTGTTAAAATGAACAAAGAAAATCTTCTTATCATTCAATCATGATGATATTGCTAATGTTGACAAAGATATGACCATAGATTTTAGACTTGACTCGATTTTAGTAAATGATTACTTGTTGTCTTGAATAGTGGCAATAGAAGCGGTTATAGCCAATAAATTAAAGTATAGCAATATAAAAAAATGTCAAATTTTTGTTCTTTTAACATTGTGATTACAAGAAGTCATGTTTTTCATCTTTGACACTCTAGAGCATGAGAAACTACAACATAAGACAGCTTGTGATGATATTTTTACCAGCACATTGTCTAGCTTATTCTATGCATTGCCAAACATGCATAGAATACTTGTTGGTGCAATGCGTAGGATAATTTTGGCTGTGAATGATGCTCATTCGAATGCTCTCTAATACAAAGATATGACATCTCCGCGTAATAACTCTTGAGGTTGATAGTTTGCATTACGCTTCTAAGAGTGTTAGCCCCATGTTACACTTTTTGGTTTCTTCAATGTGAGACTTATCTGACTCTTCCCATCTCTTCTGCTCTAGATGTGTCGTAAGGGACATACTAAACAGCAGTTCATGGACCTTGGACTTAATAAGATCATCTTGACGGTGGGGCTCCGATTAGGCTGCGCTGGCCTAGTTTGGTATCTTTGGCCCAAGGCAGGTCGATGGGGTGGATCTTCGTCAGTACTCTTGGTAAATAACTTCCTACGTGTTCTACTAACACACAGTTCAAACTCTTATCTGGTTCTTGTATTATGCCACAAATCCAGTCACTGACATCTGCGCATCTATCCATTTCCACCGTGACACATACCGTCCCACCACACAATCTTCCATCGAATCGAAGGGGATGATCTACAAGAGAACTCGATGGCCAGCTCGCACGTCGGCTGCCGCCCCACCGTACTTATGTTACTGCGAATTCGTTAACCGAGAGCTTATTCCTAATCGGTGTCACCGCGGAACACCCTAGAAAGAGAGTAATGATAAACAAGGGGCTGAATCCATCTCTGCTTTTGTGGCCGATTATTGACTCCAGCCAGTCAGACCACTTACGCCAAATGGGCTCGCAAGCCAAAAACATCTCCTAACTACCAGATCTGAGAGCGAAGATTGTGTCTTTATGGGCGGAACTATAGCTGGCGGTAGAAGGGCCTCGATTACCCATTTCTTTGGAAATTTGTGCTCCAGGCGGACGTTCACTTTGCTGCCTCCTCGACTCTTGAGCTGCTAGATTGGAGAGAAACGACAAGGAAGTCCTTCGGTGCGCAAGGCTCGAAAGGTGGAAATCTGAGGAAACGTTGAGCTGGGCCGCTTCTCGATCGAATGACCATCCTCCCGCTGCAGCCCGCATTGTGGAGCTCGCGCTCTAAAGCCTGCATGTCCAAACAGCACTGGGGAAAGCAGAAACTGCAAATTTTCTCGTCCGAGGGAGAAGATGTTTTCTGATCCATAGCGCGTCAGAGTTTTGCGACACATTGGCTAGCCATGAGGTAAGACAAAACCCTCGGCTACACAACGCCTATCCATCTACATGTGAAGGTCGATATAGCATAACGACCTTTGAGAGGCCTGGCTTTCTCATGAGCTTTAGAATTTGATTCCAAAGCGCGAAATTTGGTCACTTTTTCAGGAGATATGCCAATTACGCCCGAGAATATAAAAAAGTCATATTTCTGCTCATTCAAGACAAAACATACCTGTGAGGCTTGCCCTTTTGCAGCTTTCGTTCTGGTCTGTTCTCCAAAAAATGATTCCTTGAAGTATCGCGGGAGTCTAAAACGACAAGTTGGACATCGATACATAGAAACAAACACTCTGAAGGTCTCTCCTTTTAACGACCGCATGATTATAATGTAGCCACATTTTTTGTAGCTGCCTCTTGATCGAGGCTCACAGTGTTGCTACTCGTAGGCGTGAACACGCTCGATATTGCGGGACCTCATCAGGCAAGCTTTGTAGTGACGGTGGATGGTAGCTCACGCTTCACACTTTTCTTCTCCCGCATGATTTCACCTTCTTATTCTTGTGGAGCTACGGCTGCCGAGTACATCCTGATGTTATTATTTTTGGTTTACAACAGCGTTATGTACGGTCGCTACATCTTTTGGCCTGGATCGATGGTCCAAAATTCTAACTCATACTGATGATCTTGACGTAAGATACTTTCATTGTCGGAGGATGAAAAGTTATTAGTGAAGAGTATCTTCTCTGCTGTTGTGTTGTTTCTTTCGCACATCGTCTTTGCTGATTATTATAGATGTCATTATAATCTCGGGCCTTAATGGAAAGAGCATTTATTCGCTTCTGCGAACATCCAATCATTGACCCAGAAAACATTGTCGAAAGCTTTGTTAACCTGTTTTCACAAGAATAAATGAGGGCTCCTGGAATAAATATGGCAACGCAATCGAAACTCCCGACTCCAGTGGAAACCAGAGATTAACAAATGCAATGGGGAACCCATGCGATGGAACCATGAGCGAAACGGATGGCGAGTCTCTAATCTCTTGTTTTGGAATGCAATCTCTCCGACTGCAACTCCGATGTCCAGGCCTCTGCTAACTTGGCATATGCCAAATTTGTCATAACTTAGTCTATTATGGCATCAGACAATTTTTATTTATGACAAATATGACACTAATTTTAATTTGCTTGAATTGCTTATAATGTATGCTTACTAGAGTGACAATATAATTATGGAAGATATATACTCATCTTTCTCTTAGGTAATCATGGAAAAATCACACTCCACACACATAGTTTCAGGATACACGGTTTGGAAAATCTAAATTCAAAAGTAATCCATGTTT